GAAAGACCAAAATAAACAAGGGCGTTCATGAAGAGAAAAATGAGGTATGTAGATCATTTATACACAAGAAATTGTGTAAGAAAATGATTGGACATGCAATTGGGGTCCATGAAGAAATTAACGATACTTCTTTATCTTTGAGTTGTTATGCCGGATTGGTTGCTTAAGATCTTTGGTTTTTACCCCGACCCAATGAAAAAAATGGAAACGCTTCTTATGACTCGTTGTGACTGATTATTCGAAGCAGAAGGCGCTTTGGTAAAATCATCACGGACATAAAAAGATCCGTTTAATAATGGTCGAGTTTCTTCGGCCCGAACCAAGGAATCTCTTCAATGTGATATTACAACTTACTAGGATGATCGGTTTGAAGCCCACAATTACGATATTAAATAAACAAGCCCATCCTGGTCAAGTTTGGTGTTGCTGCGAGTCAGAGATTATCGAGGAGCTTGATCGACGAAGTAGGAGGGAGAGCATCAAAATTTTAGAGAGAGAAAAGAAAGGGTTTTTTTTTTGAAACTTTAACGAAAAGTTTTCGGTACTGTTCACTTTAACAAAAAATCACATTTTAATATTAAAAAGTCAATCCTGATACTATTCACTTTATCCTTGATTTTGTCCTTATCGTTAAAACTCAAAATTTTCAAACTATTGTCATTAGTTTTCCATATTTTTTGGGTAAACGAAAAGAAAGGGTTTTGGTTGAGGGTTTATGAAAAGGGCCATTTAACAAGACGTGCGCGGCCTTGTCTTCAGTGGCCCAAAAAGTTTTCAGGTTAATTATGGGTCAAACTAATGAGGCCAAGATTCGGGCTTATATAACAAATTAACATAAACGGATCCAGATCATGGGCCTAGGTATTTTTTTAGATTTTGTTCATTCAGAGGATATTTCGAAAAGAGTATTCGAACACAGGATCATGCGTACAAAAATGAATGTTCTTAGTTACTTACGTTATAAGCCTTCTGCACATGGTTTTTTAGTTAGCATCAAGCCGGTACACATCTCTATGATTTTTCAAGTTGTTCTGATTTATTCAGTCTTAAGGCTATTTACTCAATCACAAACATTTCTAAAACACTTATAACATAGAAAATCATAGCAAAGGCCTCTAACAAACAATTTATATTTTTTAATATTATTTTTCTTGTGTATTTTTTGATATTATTTAGGCACTGAAAAAAGAAAATACCTTGTAGAAAATCACTTGGCACAATACACCAGAAAAAGTTGAACCTATTGTCCTTTTAGTGGGATGGCTCTAAGGGGGTCATGAGATACCCTACCCTTATCCAACCTTCCAAATCGAACAGAAATGCGATCGATGCCACTCCAAATCTGATCAGATTTTTAGACCCTATATATTCTCCATAACGGTCCCCATCAGTTGGAAGAGTCCTTATTTCCATTCATTCATCAAATATGACACTGGTTTTTACAAAGCGATTACAATACTATAAACTGCTCCAACACACGTGAAAGGAGATCGAAACTCAAATTTAAAGAGACGGACATGTCCACCAACCCGCCAACCCTAACCCTAAGTATGAATATTGACTTCCACTATTTTTTCTTTGGCACATGGTTTATTTGTTTACATTTGTGTTTTTAGAGAGCTCCCAAGAGAAATCGACGTTAGCAACCACCACTGGCGCTCTAGTGCTTTGAGTTCAAGCGTGATTCCTCAACTTATGGCTGGATTGGTATTGTTGTGCTTAAAAAAAAAGCTGTTTTTGCTGTGCTGTGAGAATAAGCAGTTGTGAAATAAAGCAGCAGAGTGTTTGGTAAACTTTTTTGTAAAAATGCTTTTGAACAAAAAAAAAAAAAACATTATTATAGTGTTTGAAATTTTATGTAAAACAGATGTGAAAAAAAGCCGGTTTTTCAAAGCTAGGTTTTACAGCTTCTTGTTTTTGGCTTTTTTTCACCCAAAACTGTGAAAAAAAACTGAAGCTGAATGTTTACCAAACACAAAAACAGCTCACAGCTTTTTTTTATACCAATTTTTTTCAGAATCACCTTAATACCAAACTAGGTCTTAGACTCCTCGAAAAGCTTGAGATAGATCATCTTGGCCTTAAAAAGCAAAGCAGCATGCATAGTCGTTTGATTGAGACGTCCATTTTGCCATGGAAGGGTGAAGTCGCCACATGCATGTGTTCAATGATCAAGTGATTCATTCCTTTTTTTTTTTTTTTTTTTTGTGGTACTATCGTATCATATCGTATCATGCATGTCATTTTCCAAACATAGATTGTACGCGTTGCATGGCACGACATAGTACTAGTCATATATGACACACCTGTTCATTTTTCAACGTCCAAACAAGAGAGTTTATGGGATACTTTTCATACGCATCTTCATTAACACATAAGTCTCTCATTTATTGAGTGGTGTTAATTACATACATTTTTTTATTTTTAGTCATTGGATTGAATGAACTGAAGAAGATTAAAAGACATAAATTGTGTGGAAAGTAAAAATGAGTGTGGATAGTACCACTATTTATCAAACATGTTGGAGACCTAGATGTAGCTCGTGTTCTAACATATGTAGTAAGGGTAATGCTAGAGAAATTAAATTTGTAAACAAAATCACGGAAGTTGATAATTGATTGATTACTTAAACATTCATAAACGTGCTCATTCCTATTGGTGACACATTATTTAGTTTGCTAATTCTATTTATAAATTTAGTCTCCTTAGCATTATCGATGCAGTAATAAGTCGCTTAATTCTCAAAAACGTTGCAGTATAGACATAATTCAGTTGGATAAAACAATGTGAATACTACTATGCACTCAAGTTCGAAATTAATTTGATCTTTTAATATAAGTTAAAATAGAATTTTATTTGAATAAATTAAAATTATCTCAAAGACGTGGACCATCATTGACCCCATTGCTCGAAAACTCTTCAGAAACTGGAAACTTGTTTGACCAAGTTTGGGACAAGAAAAAGATTAAGTAGGAGTTTGAATCCATCCCCCACAAGTCAAGGAAACTAAATTCATCAAACGCACTCATGATACATATACATACATATTCATCAAAAGCACTCAATGAATGGATGTTGGGTTCTTGGCCATTTGGAAGTGGAGGCAAAATTACTCCTATAAGTGGCAGAAGGAGAGGAGATCAAAAGTCAGCGCCAGTAGACAAACGGTAGTGTATTGTGAATTCAAATCATTTTCGGATTTTTGTGTTCGGAGCCTATGAATTAGAGAATTTGGACCACTCAATTTGAATTCAGCAGCCCTTATTAGCCTTTTCATTGACCAATTTCACACAAAATCAAGCCCCAAAATGATCCGAATTCCTTGTTCTGTCAGCTCCGGACACAGAGATTCGAAAATTATCTGAATTCGTGCATTGCAATATCTGTACTTAGCTTGTATTTGAAGTGTTTGGTTAAAACTCTAATCTAATCTAGTAATTCTGGGTCTAAAAGCTTGGACGGCAAAAAGCAAGAAAAATAATAATTCAATCGTTCGTAGCAAGTCAAAGGTTCATAATATAAGTGGATCGATGAGAGATTATATTCTCTTTGAATGATTAATTGGTTGATCGGAGTGACCTCTCTCTGCATCTCTGCATCTCTGCATCTCTTCTGCATGGCCCATCAGAAAAGTTGGTGTCCTGTACACCACCAAAATTCGCAATGTTTTGTACTCTTGGTACATCACTCTGCCAGTATATGCTTATGCCTATGATTGTAGACGCGGATGCGGTAACAGTGGTCAGAAACCGAGTTTGTATCGCCCTCTGTATTCAACAAACAGTATCTAGTGTTCAATACTTTTGAATTCACAATTTTTGAATTTTGTAAAATTTAATAACAATGTCATCCTCTGTGTAATTCAAAAATTTACCCTCACCGCATTTCTCGATTAAGAGTAAATTGTAGTAATGGTCTCTCAACTTTAACCAAATTGAAGTAATGATTCCTTAACTAAAAATTTATTACTATTGGCCCCTCAACTCATCAAAACATGTAGTTATGGTTATTTTTCGTCAACTCTGTCTCAATTCTATCAAAATGAGTTATGGTGGAAGGACCATTGCTACAATTTGGTTAAAGTTGAGGGACTATTGCTCCAATTGAGTTAAAATTGAGGGATTATTTCTCTAGTTGGATTAAAATTGAGGGACCATTGATACAAGTTTTCTTATTTGATTTTTCATATTTGCCCATTGATTCAGCCTCACGTGCATGGCACATGACTCATTTTGACGGAAGTTTTAGCATAATTGACGAAAATGATCATAGCTGCACGTTTTGATGAGTTGAGGGACCAATAGTAATGGATTTTTAATTGAGGGATCATTGCTCCAATTGGGTTAGAGTTGAGAGACCGTTGATATAATTTACTCCTCGATTAAACATCCTTGTTCACAAATTTATCCGTGACAAAACTAGAATAATCTGTCAAACCATCTTAACCGTTAATCATGTAATCTGGTGTACGAACCTGAAAATTTCTTGAGTTTAATCGTCACACTGCCAAATGATTTCCACAAATGAAGTTAAACATGCGGACCCTACATAAGGACCCTGGATTTCTGTTGTGATGTAATATGTGAATGGGCCATATGAATAGTTTGTTACTATTCATCCAAAGAAAAATCAGATGAGTTATCATTCATATGAAGAAAGTTTGTAAAGCAAATAATGTTACTACAACAATCTTTTGCCTATAAAATAAGAGCATACAGAGGAAGAAAAAAAGTGAGAAAGAAAAGAAAGAGAGGAGAAGAAGAAGGGAAAGAAGAGAGATACAAAATAAAATATCAGTGAGTTGGGCTAGAAAAAAGAAAGAAAATAGTGAGAGTATATTTGTACTTCTATTATTTCACATAATGAAAGAAAGTGCTACTGCTGCCCTAAGGACGTAGGCACATTTGCTGAACCTTGTAAATATTATGTCTTATTTACTTTATGTTTCACTGCACACATATCGTCGATTTTCCAATAATTTCAATATATAACTCCCATAATGGCCTTCAATGATTCGAATTTTATATTTAAAATTTTAAAAAACAAAAGGTACTAATCAGTACTTGAAAATATTGCAGTTAATAGTTGTCAAAAAAGGTACTAATATGCATTATTATCGCGATAATGAACAATCATGCTGGAATTCCTCTCCAAATTATCATTTAATTAATCAATAAATCACAGAATTTACAAGAAAAAAAGAGACCCAATTCAGTAATTTCACTTTGTTAGTCATCTTTCTCCTCGGCAGCTCGCTTCAGCTCCGAAAATTTAATCACAAACTCTGCCTCCGCTCCGATTCGACCCCGGGACGACTCGGTGGATTGACTCACCCACTCAGTTGCCATCTCCATTGCATTCTTCGGAGCTTCATGCATTCGTAACTCGGCCACTCGGCTCAGTAACTCACTATCCAGTGGCCCCAATAATTAATCACATAATTTCCACGGCAAAAAGAAAAAAAAAAGGGAAATGGAAAAGAGCACCCAACCCAACTGGGATAACTCGTCCGAGCTGATTTTGCACTTGAACTCTGCCGCTTAGCGTTTTACTCTGTTCAATCGATGGCTTTGGAGCGAGACGACCAGGACTGAGTCACACCCGGGCGAGTGAGAGAATCGGTGGGACTTCTTATATGTCTTTATTTTTTCAGAAACCATAAAAAAGAAACCGACTAAATTCAGCCGGTTTCCGGTAATTTTACCAAATTGTCTTCTCGGAAAATCCACGAAGCAGCGGTCGAGAATCGGCCCACAGTTCGAGGTTACTCCGGGCGCCAACGTGGCAGTATTTCTGGAAGTCGTCGACGTTGACTAACCGGGTCGACTTACGCGACTCGGAGCGGGAAATGAATCGGAGAACCTCCTCGAACAGCGACTCGTCGCAGGGGATCGCGAGCGGGCCGCTGTTCGAGAAGCCGTACTCCTCCTCGGCTTGCACAAGGAGCTTTTTGAAGACGGGGTGGTTCAAGTACGACGCGCGCACCACGAATCTGGTGCAGCTGGTGCCCACGCAGACTGCGACGTGTCCAGCGGGAACATCGGAGGGTATGCGCTTGGTGGACGTGCAGGCCTTGCTGCGCCACCGCCGCAGCAACTGGCGGAGCCGCACAATGTGGCGGATCTTGCTGCATTTTCCGAGTCCGTCTGACATTTTCTGGGAAAGTGAAGGAAAATGCGAGACTTCTGCGTTCTGTTTGGTTCGCTGGAAAATATAAGGCGCTGAATGAAAGATTTGGGGGATTGTGCTTCTGAGCCGAGAGGGAGTTATAAAGTGACGGGGTTTTGAAAGTACCATTGGTTTTGGAGACAATTACATGGGTGCCGCCTGCTGTTTTCACACCTTTTTATTTGGGGCTGATTTGCTGATTCTAGTAGATTTTTATGTTTTGTTGTTGTTGGGCTATTTAGGTAACACTTCATAGTTACTCAGTGTAACAGTCTTGTGTTATTTTTCATCATTTGGAAGTAAGAGGTCTTAGGATTGAATCTCTTGGATGACGAATTCGAAACCAAATTAGGTTACTTATTGTGTGGTTTAGCCAAACTCCCCTTCCTTAGTGTAAAAATATCGATGAGTTATAATTTTATAGAACCTATTAGACTATTATTTGGCCAAAAGGCCATCAAGCTAACCAAATGTAGCCCTCTTCTTAGCTCCTGTTTTTGGGCCCAACTTCTCAGTTAAAATAATTTATTCGAATTCAACAACTAGATTTGAAAGCATCCAATGGTATTTAATTAAGCAATGAATTTAAAATATAATGTTAAGGCTAATAAATTATCGAGGGAGTTGTCTTTAGCTCATTCGGTTGGAGATGGTATATGAATATGGCTTGACAGTGTTCATTTTAAAATAATTTTTGGGTTAATTACACTAACACTCCCTGAGGTTTATCAAGTTTTCACAAAATCCCTTCACATTTGAGACATTACGCAAACACCCTCTCAGGTTTTAATTCTCTTTCATATAACCCCTTCAGTCAAAATTTTGCTTATAGATTTACTAATTTACCCTTATTAATTACTTCAAACTAATAAATAAAACTTTATAATTGTATAAAATAAAAGGAATTGTTATAGACACTCCAAAATTCTCATTCTACACTTCAAACTTTCTATTTTTAAAAAGAAAAATACACTTGTGAGGAGTGTAAAATGACATTTTTGGAGTGCTAATAACACTTCCTAAAATAAATTGTAAGTCATTAAACACTTAAAAAAAAAAAAAGACAAAGACAAAACCATTGGACGAAAACAAACTAAGACAAAAAATTAATTAATTCTTTGAAAATAATATTTTACTAAAAAATAGATGATCATAAAGCAAACAGCCATTCAACTTAATTTTGGAGGCGATAAAATTATTTTTTTTTTCATTATTAGGGTTCATAAAGATGACTTTGGAATTGCCCAATCCCAATGGACCAAAATTTAGGGCAAAATTTGAGCAAAAAAAAAAAACCAGCAAATTGAGTTGTCCTTTAGGGTGGTAGAAAAAAACCATGGACCAGAAGTTGAGTATCAAAAATTTTAAACAGAGGAAGAAGAAAGAGATGGTCTTCTTCTTTGAAAAAATTTTAATTATTAATTTAAAAAAAATATTTTATTAAGAAATAGACGACAATTGAATCAATCGTCGTCCATTATGTCGCACCGTGGGATTGGATTTGGTTCATTAGGGTTTTTGGTTTGGAAGAAACGAGAAGTTTAGAGTGATTTTAAGAGAGGTTACATGTCCCCGCGAATACTGCTGGTTCAATTTGTTTGCTCTTATGAATTAAGCTGCTTCACTGATCTTGTACGATGTTTTGTTTTTTTCTAGTCGTCGATGCTGGTGTGTCAACCACACAATATTTGTGGGACTAATATTTTCTTAAATATTATTGCTAATCTCGATTTTGTTTGTGTAAAATTATAAATATTTTACACAATGTTGGAGATGGAGAGTAGGGGTGGTTCGGTATGGGATACCGAACCGAAACCTTAGTCCTTATTCCCAAACCGAAAATTTTGAGATTCCTAATTTCAAGACCGATCTCAAACCAAATTTTCGGAAATCCAAATTTTTGGGAATCCCGAAATATTTTGGGCTTTTCAGCTATAATAACTTGGCTGTGGATGTGCAGTGTGCAGAATAGCTAATCTGCACTCAGGGCTGGCCCTGAGAATTTGGGGGCCCTAGGTGAGCCTTGGAAGTGGGGCCCTAAAATTCTATGATCTCCGGTTCTTTGTATATTGATTTGTATAAAAAAATTCGCTAAATACATAAAAAGTTTGATTTTCACATCAAATATCATTAAAAATTAATATCAAAAGAAGATAAATATACAAACATTATTTAAACATTACACGATTCACGTTTTTAGACACAAATGTACTAACTGTTTGCAGTCAAGAGTCTAAGATTGAGAGTGAAGAAAAATAAAACTTGATGATCAAGAGATTAAATAACAATAAAACTTGATTGACGAGTATAATAAATTCAACACCAATTGTTTCTCTTGTGTTTTTTTTTTCTTCTAAAATCAACATCACACTAACGAATTGAATATTAAAATAATCCATTGAATAAAAAGTTATTGAAAAGAAAAATATAAATTCAAAGTTTTGATTACCTTAAAGTACAATCATTAAAACCATATGATAGTTGGTTTAAACATTCAATAGAAATAGAGAGAATGGGAAGTTGGTTTAAACATTTGATAGAAATTGAGAGAATAAGAAGTTGAAAGAAAAAAAGATTGCAAAGAGACTTGAGTTTTATAACTTTATATGCATTTGGACAGATGGATTGGAAGTTGGACAAATGGATTGGTAGTAAATTTGAAAAACAAGAAAAATCAAGAAAAATTTAGTAACTAAAAAACAGCTTCGTGTTTCGAACTCAACACCCCAAGAAAAATGAAGCCAACATTTCCACTGCACTAACAAATGAATTGTGATATTTCTTACTTTTTTTGTATTTATATGTTAATTACAAGATACAAAAAAATTTTGGGGGCCTTAGGCGGGCGCCTACTTAGGCTACCCTCAAGGCTGGCCCTGTCTGCACGCATATCTTGGTTGTGCAGTGAAGTGATCATCATAAAAGAACAGCACCACCTATCTATTAAACACCACGAAATGAGCAAGACCATTTATTAATTTGAAACATAATATCAACATGAGTCATGACTAATAAATTTCCGGATTAACTATCAATTTTAAGTTTTAACTACTTATTTCAACTAATTAACAAATACACACATTGCCCACAATTATATTCCAAAAAGGATGTTGTGTAAATCAAACCCAAGTATACAATATACTACAGAAAGTGACTTCATTCAAACCAACTGCTCAACACACCATTTTTTTCTTAAGATATCTCATTTCAGATTTGTCCTTCCATACCACCAAATATATATACTCTCTCAAGACTTATCATGTCAACAGATGAACATACATTGAAGTTTGAACAATCGTGTATACGAAAAAACAAAATAGCTTATAATTATATCAGGGGGCTAAAACCAGAGTTTACTAGGTTCCTTTAGAATTGTTTCTACGACTGACATAATTTGAGTCAGAGAAGCGGGATATGAACTTGTAGTTTACATGTGTGCAAGTGTTCCCGTGAGTGAGGATCTGTGCATGTGTAAACAGTTTAAAAGCACACATAATGTCATGCTTTGATGACCATTCCAGCAAAATATTTTACAAGGAACAAAGAAACAAAAGTAAAAAAGCTTTGATTGCATAAGGTATTTTAGAAAACATGATTTACGTCAGGCTTCCTCCGCCCTTTAACCTTTTATTCCCTCTATAACCTCTATGTCGATTCAAAATCCCTAATTCCGAAAGCCCTAATTTAGAAACCCTAATTTCAGAAACTCCTAATTCCAAAAGCCCTAATTACCCTAATTTCAGAATTCCTAATTCAGAAACCCAAATTCAAAATCCCTAATCGAATTTGGAATCAAACAATTTGTATGAACTTTGGTTGAGTTTATTGCAGGAATTTCTTACCTTTTGTAGTGAGGAGGAGTGCGGATTGAGACCGAGAGCTCGATTCAGGAACCGAATTCGGATGGTATGGACAGTGGGTGAAGGCGCTATTCTGGTGAGGAGTGAGGCTTGAGAGGAATGAGGACTGGTGTGGGTAGATTCAGGATTCAGGCGATGGATGTGGGAGGAAAGACAAATCGGCGAGGAGAGTGGTAAGGTTCCGTTCAGAAGATACTAAGGTGAGGTGAGTGTTGAGAGACAGAGAGAGAGTCAGAGACTGGGTTTGATAACTTTGATTTCGGGATCGGTTCGGTATTGGGTATCGAAATTTTCGGGAATTTTGATTTGGGATTTTTTCAATTTGGTTTCGGGAATTTTTTGGTTTGGTTTGGGATTTTTTTCTAGCCCTAATGGAGAGATCCTTTTTTTGGTTTGTTCAAAAGTTGAATGGGTAGTGGTGATGGAGAAGGGAGGAGATGGGGTGGGAGGGAAAGAAGAAGATGAACACTTTTTTTTTAATAAAATATTAATTTTAAAGTAATAAATAAATTTCCTTTCTTAATTTGTTTTTGTCAACGTGGTCTTCTTCTTGTCCTTTTTAAAGTGTTTAATGGCTTATAATTTATTTTATACAATTATAAAGTTTTTCTATTAGTTTTAAGTAATTATTAAGGGTAAATTAGTAACTTTATAAGGAAAATTTTGACTGAAGGGGGTTATATGAAAGGGAATTATAACATGAGGGGGTGTTTGTGTAATGTCTCAAATGTGAGAGGGTTTTGTGAAAACTCGATAAACCTCAAGGTGTGTTAGTGTAATTAACCCAATAATTGTTTGCAGAGGTATAATTTTGGACAGGACTATATTTAACGCTTTCAATTGAAGACGACCTAAATTATGACTGTACTATCAACGCCTCGCACACTTTGATAGTACGGTCATAAGGTATTAGGATTTATAGTATAGTCCATTTATGGGTAGGACTTTATTAGATTGAAGCCAGTAAATGTGTGAGGTCCTTGCTCGTTCTGCAATCATCACAAGCCATCCGTTTCTTATATGGTTCTCGTGATTAAGGTGCAGTAGGGAGGAGAAAATCTCGAGTTCTTCTGTGGAGATTATTATCTCATTCATCATGTCGAGCTCGCAAGATTAATTTACTCATTATGTTTTAATGGTATGAAACTGATAATAACTTGCACTTAGATGGATTGAATTTCATGTTCCATTGCATGAGTTTTTCATTATGGATTGTTTTCAAACCTGCTAATGA